TATATATATATATATATATATATATATATATATATATATATATATATATATATATATATATATATATATATATATATATATATATATATATATATATATATATATATATATATATATATATATATTCCTTTAAAATACTAATATGATATTTATTATATTTTAATTTATGTAACTACTCTATTATCTATTATTAATAAAATTATTTTAATAAATAATACTCATTTTATCATTGAAATTAACATAATTAATTATTATTTTAAAAAATATAAAAATTTTAAAAAAGACTTTTATCTTAAAATAGAGAGAATAGTTTATTACATGAAATATAAAACATAAGTAAATATACTCTTTCTTTTTTAAAATAACTCGATTAAAGTGATGTGTAAAATAATAATTAAAACACACAATTAAAAAATTAATATTTTTAAAAATGAAAATAACATTTATTTTAAAACGTTTTTCATTTATGAATACGATATTCAATTTAAAATGGATGAAGTAACACTTGAGGGTTTTTTCACCCAAATAATCAAGATTCTCCCTTATAATTTCCAATCTACCAAACTTTCCAATATATTATCCAATCTACCCTAGTTTTGTATTTTTTTTATTTTTTTTTACAAGGGGGCGCCATGGGGGTTGGAGCCTCCCTTATAATTTGTATGGGGGCGCCATGGGGGTTGGAGCCACCCTACAAATTATAAAGGGGGCGCCATACCCATTGGAGTCTCCCTTAAATGGCTTAAAGGGGGGCGCCATCCCCTATGGAGCTCCCTTTATACCAAAATAATTTTTAAAATATATTATAATTAATATAATTAAAATATTATATTATGGTTTTCCAATTTTTTTTTTATAAATAGGTAGACATGTTGCTAACATTGTTTCATCTAAATAGGTATAAGTCTGTATCAATTGGTTTCATTTCACATCCAAGGTATCTTAATGACCCACGCCAACAAGATTCATCATCAAGGCCCCAACAACCAACCCAGCCCTATTTCCAACCGCCAACCCAACCTCATTGCCAACCATCAACCCAATACTATTTCCAACCGCCAACCCAACCCCATTTCCAACCGCCAACCCAACCCCATTTCCAACCCCCACTCACACAATCACAGCCATATGAACATACTCCTAACCAATTCACTCCATTCACACAAACTCATTCACAATCCGAATACCAACAACATCCACCACAATACCACACATACTCCCAGTTTCAAACGCCCAATCAACCCATACCCACCCAAACCTTTACACCCATCTCACGCTACGATCAGGCAGGTTATCGCCCTGACATTGCCTCATCCAGCCAACCACCCCAAAATAATTATGAAGGCATGGGCAACCCTTTTAATTTGGATGACTTTACGGATATGGACTCTTCATGGGCCGAAGTGATGCAAATGATTGATGACGATACAATGGACCCGACTCCACCACAAAGACCACCAAGAAACGTACGTAATCGAGGATGCGGTACGGGCGGACATTTAAATCGACCGAGTCGTAGAAATTAGTGTACAAGATTTTTCAAATGTAGTCATTTGTATGTGATTAAATTTATTTAATCCAATTTAATTTTTATTTGTTGTTTGGAATTTATTAATTAAAATATTAATTATTATTTATTTATAAATTGTTAAAAATATGAAACATTAAAAATATTAAAATATAAATTGTTAAAAATTATTCAGAAATTATTATTTTTAAATTTTTTTTAAATTATTAAAAATTATTTATTAAATATTTTTAAACTAATTAAACATTAAAAATAAATTTTAAATTTCGTTTAAGGGAGACTCCAATGGGTATGGCGCCCCCTTTATAATTTGTAGGGTGGCTCCAACCCCCATGGCGCCCCCATACAAATTATAAGGGAGGCTCCAACCCCCATGGCGCCCTCTTGTAAAAAAAAATACAAAACTATGGTAGATTGGATAATATATTGGAAAGTTGGATAGATTGGAAATTATAAGGGAGAATCTTGGTTATTTGGGTGAAAAAATCACACTTGAGACCTAAATGACTAATTATGCTAGCCCTAGTGTAAAATACGCTAGTCCAACTCCAAGGTCCATTAGCACTTGGCACTAATGAATCACTACTAGCTCCTAAAAAGAAGGAGATGATAAAAATAAAATTAAAACAATGCATACACAACAGATCACACTCAAATCAGAAGTTGTTTCACTCTCGCAGATTAAATGTATTCCAACCTTGCTAGTACTAGCTGATACCTCTTGGGAATTTTTTACACAATTGCCACAAGCTGAAATAAAATACACCAAATTGCCACTAGCTGAAAAAAAATTACACAATTGCCACAAACCCAGAAAGGGTTCGTCCAACCATTGGACGACCCAATGGAGAGCATTTTGGCGCAGCAAGGGTTCGGCCAATGGATGGCCGACCCTGCTCTATGTCTTTTTTTTTTTTTTTTAATTTCAGAATTAAAATGATTTTTTTTTTTATTTTTTGTTTTTAATAGATTTTTTTATATTTAAATGATTTAAATAATATTATATAATAATAAAAAAATAATTTAATTATTTTAAAAATAATTTAATATAAATAATATAAATTTTACATTATATAATTAATTATTAAATATTAATAATTGTTTTTTACATTATATAATTAAGTATTAAATATTAATAATTGTTTTTTACATTATCTAATTAATTGTTTTTTATATATTAAAATTAGTTAAATGATATTTTATATTACCTAATAAGTAATTTAATTATTTCAAATTATTTTTTAATATTTTTATATATACAAAATGATAAATAATTATATAAAATAATAAATTATATAATTAATTGTTTAACTAAATAATTAGATAAAATAAAAAAAGATATTTTATTAATATTGATGAGTGGAGAAAATACATCATATTTATCTACGCAAATGACCGCCAGTTCCACACAATGTACTCTTTTTCACACGTTTCCCCCTGCCTAACTCTTGAGTTTGCCGTATTGGAGGTGATGTTGGAGGTGATGGGGTAGAGTCGGAAGTCAACTCTTCATTTTCAGGTTGACGTGATGTATCAAGCATGTCCACATCAGTAACCGAAAAACCTGGCCATTCCATGAGTTGATCATCCGTTAGGGTAAAGTTAGGGGCTGACTGGAATGGTTGGGTGAAGGTGGTTGGAGGGTTTTGTTGGATGGGAGGGTAATAAACATTGTCGGTGCGACCGGATGAACTTGGATGAGACATTGAAGGGTTAAATGTTTGGTGTTGTGGTTGGGGGTAAGAGAAATCAAAATTAGGCTGAGGGATCGGAGTGAATTGAAAAGAAGGTTGAAATGTGGCTTGTTCCTGATATTGTTGTCGATAGTAGTAGTTTGGTTGTGGGGTTGGGGTGTACGGTGTTGGTTGTTGAGAGGAGGTGGCAAAGAATGTAGTATGAGTGCGTTGATATGTTGGTTGGGGTTGTGGTTGTGTTGGTTGTTGAGAGGAGGCGGCAAAGAATGTTGGCTGGTTGAATGAAGATGTCTGTGTTTCAAATTGTGAAGGGTTCACCTGAGGCATTTCTTGAGGCATGGGCGAAGAGAATCTTTGTTGTGATGAAGACGTTGCATACTGACGGGGGTCCTCTAGGAACTGACCTTGAGAAGCGTGCATAAATGGAATGGATAAAAACCATTGCATATATTCAGCACTATGAACACAGTTACCGTTAACCATGTTACCTCGTAGGGTCAAATTTGTTCTGTTTCTCCACTCGTTATTTTCTTCTTTATTTATATTGCGCCAATGATCTCCCCATGTATTAGGCATATCAGTCTCATGTTGTTGACGTAGACATCTAGGCTGAGGAGGGATATCTTGTTGAAATCCAAACTGCAATTTGACCCTATCAGCCTGATGCATTTCAACGATATGGAAACTGATAATCGATGTTGTAGCGCTCCAAATCTGGCTATCTTGAAGGACGCATTCGGGGTAGCTTGGGTATGGCCTCCAAATAAACTGTTACAGAAAATATAAGTGTTAGAGTTTTAATACAATGGGTGACACATATTTAGAGAATGTTGCGTTAACAAACTTACATCGTTAGCCCTTAATCTGTCTAGTGCGAATCTAAATCCTCGGACGTAGTGCCGAGGATTATTTTGATAAGCCATGCCTCTTCGAACAAATCTTGCAATGTTAAAAAGAAAATAAATGATAAAGAAAATGTAAACAAAATTTACCTTGTTGCATAAGGATGGTGTGCAGTGGCGGGAGACTCTGGAGCTATTAGTGGTATACGCCAATATGTCCAAACACTTAGTAGTAGAACACACCCACCAATACTTTTGACCCCTACCATACATGCTTTACACATATGTCTATATAATGTAGCCAAACAAGCAGAACCCCAACTATATCTTCTGCATTTATCTAAATCTCCAACTAGGGGTATCCAAGAAGAATGCATATAGTTATGGCTCTTGTCTGGCATTAATACCTTAGCTATTAGTAATAAAATATATATTTTTGCATGTTGTAGATTTTCCTCATCGGTTGGTCTTGCTTTTTGTCGTAATCGTGCTAATGTAGTTTGTAGCCAAACAATTTTAACGTACCCTTTATGTTTATCAGATGTTGTAGGTTCTACGCCTAAATGTTTCATGCAGTCAGAGGTAATATATGCTCAACCCATAAATCTGTACAATCCACCAGTGCATATGTCAAACATATGTATGGAGTCATCTCAACCCATCTATATTTTTGAAAATGAAAAACCAAACCATAATGGTGAAAAATTGGAAGTAGGCTTGGTGTTTGAAAATAAGGAAGAATGTGTTCTTTTTTTACAACATTGGCATATTAGTAACAACCTTGACTATGCAGTATATAAATCTGATTCAGTAAGGTATATAATAAAATGTACAAACCCACAATGCGTCTTCAAATGTAGAGCTGCTGTGCGTAAAAAAAGCACATTATGGGAGATCGCTACTATAAAGGGTTCACACACGTGCACTACAACCTCAATGTCACAGGATCATAGAAAATTAGATTCTGAAATTATTAGCCACAGCATCAGAGAACTTGTTAACAGCGACGCTTCACTGAAAGTCAAAGTTATACAAGCCCACATTGCTGAAAAATACGGTTATAGAATCTCGTATCGGAAAGCTTGGATTGCAAAGATGAAAGCTGTAGAAGCACTTTATGGAAATTGGGAGACGTCTTACAATGACCTACCACAGTGGTTGTTGGTGCTGAAGACATATCTTCCTGGAACTGTTATACAGTTGGAAACATTGCCGATTATTACAGATGACGGAACCCAGTTGGGTGACAAACGAAAATTTCACCGACTTTTTTGGGCATTTGAACCGTGTATCCGTGGTTTTAGTTTCTGTAAACCAATCGTGCAAATAGACGGAACCTGGTTGTACGGCAAGTACAAAGGGACTTTGTTAATGGCTGTGGCACAAGATGGAAATGGTAACATTTTTCCGATAGCGTTTGCATTGGTTGAAGGAGAGACAAAGGATGGTTGGAGTTTCTTTCTCAAGAATTTGAGAATGCACGTGACCCCCCAGGCCAATCTTTGTCTAATATCCGACCGACATCCATCAATCAAGAGTGCTTACGATGATCCTGAAAATGGGTGGCAGTTTCCTCCATCTTCACATGTTTACTGTATCAGACATATTGCGCAAAACTTCATGCGTGAGTTCAGAAACAAAGCACTACGAAAAACAGTTGTCAACATGGGTATGTCTACATCTTCACAAGTTTTATTGATAATTTTTTGATCATTTTGTTTTACTAATCATTTTGTTTAATTATTTTTAGGATATGCACTAACAGAGGCAACATTTAACTACTACAGGGGCGAATTACGAAGAACAGATAGAGCAACTTTGGAGTGGATTGACAATATTCCCAGAGCGAAGTGGTCGAGGGCGTTTGACGGAGGACAGCGGTGGGGACACATGACCACAAATTTAGCCGAATCTATGAACTCGGTACTTAAGGCTACCCGAAACCTTCCTATTACAGCATTGGTCAAGTCAACGTACTATCGTCTAGGATCGCTGTTTGGAAAACGAGGACACGATTGGACAAAACTGTTGGCATCCGGTCAAACTTTCACGAAAAACTGTATCAAGGGAATGGCCGACGAGGCTATTAAAGCTAGCAGTCATAACGTCATTCAATTTGATCGCGAGAGATTCTGTTTTATGGTTGCCGAATGCATTAACCAACGCGATGGCCGACCATTAGGTACTTTTAGCGTTGATCTCAGGAGAGGGTGGTGCGATTGTGGGAGGTTTCAGGCATTTCATTTACCTTGCTCTCATGTAATCGCAGCATGTGCCAGTATACGACAGGACCATAACATGCACATACCAGATGTTTTCAAAGTTCTAAGTGTATTCAAAGTATACAGCCAAAGCTTCCTTGGACTACCACACCAGCAAAATTGGCCAACATATGAAGGATTCACTCTTTGCCATGACGAGACAATGCGACGAAATAAGAAAGGGCGTCCAAATAGTACAAGAATTACAACTGAAATGGACGATTTTGAGAAAGAAAAGAGAAGATGTGGGATTTGTCGAGAAATCGGTCATATGCGGAGAAAATGTCCAAACGTGGCAGGCCCATCAAATCGGCCCGTCTAAAAATGTATTTTATCCACTCTTAAATATTAATAATATTTTCTTTTTTTATGATTCAATTTATTATTTTATATACTTATTAGGTAATATAAAATATCATTTAACTAATTTTAATACATAATAAACAATTAATTAGATAATGTAAAAAACAATTATTTATATTTAATAATTAATTATATAATATGAAATTAATATTATTTATATTAAATTATTTTTAAAATAACTAAATTATTTTTTTATTATTATATAATATTATTTAAATAATTTTAATATATCAAAAACAATTAAAAACACAAAATTATTAAAAAAATAATATAATAATTTCTGAAATAAAAAAAAACAAAAAAAAACAAAAAAAAAAAAGCAGCTAGCTAAGGGTCGGCCATCCATTGGCCGAACCCATGCTGCGCCCAGAAGACCTTCAATGGGTCGTCCAACCATAGGACGAACCCTTAAAGAAGTAGTGGCATTTGTGAAATTTTTTTTCAGCTAGTGGCACTTTAGTGTATTTGATTTCAGCTTGTGGCAATTGTGTAAAAAATTCACCTCTTGGAGATCCAAAAATGCCCGTGCAAACCCTATGACTCTATCATGCTAAGAAAAAGCTTAATCATCATTCTGCCGCTATCAAGAACTTCTGTGTTTTGGTCGTCACTGCTATGTGCAAAGCGTGGTACTATCACTGCCCTTCCTCTTAATTTTGTCTATAATTCAACCAAACATTCAATTAATTTGGTATCTTCTCTTTCATATTTTATCAGTATTATGCATTGATTCTGTGATGATCTAATGAAGTGATTCTCTTTAGCCATTGTAGATCCTAGTGTCAAACTGTTCTTTCTTTTTCCTTTTTAAAAGTTGTTTTTATACAGTAAACTTTAATTCAGGCGTATATAGTTGACTTGTTGAACTAGTTACATCAAATTTATTTTCTAGTTTCAATATTTTACAATATATTTTATACTTTTATTAAAAATACTTGTTTAAAATTTTAAAAAATAGTTTATGATTTTATGATGTTGGGTGGACTTGATCTTTACCGTGTTAAATGTATTTGAATCTTATTTTTATGTGTTTTTTTCAAACACATTTTTATATCTAATAGTTTGACAACTTAAAGAAAGTTAGACTCTGATACAATTTCAATACAGATCATCACACTTCTATGTGAATCTTTGCCCCAACACCCACGTTTCAATAAAAAAATTTGATTATAATACTTCTTTTTGTCATAATAAATTATCTATTTAAATTAAAAAAAATTAATTATTATTATGTACTGTGAGTGTAAAAAGTAATGAAAATAAAAGTCAAACTCTTCTTAACATCAAATGATTATGATTAACTGATAGTGTAAAATCCTTTTACAGTGTATTTGAATTAAATTCATTAAAAAATTAAAATGAATGATTCATTTTAATTTATAATACAAATTATTTTTTTTTCTTTTTAATTTTACCATTTAATCATTACTACTATCACCACTTACAATATTTGGTAATGAGTACTTTAGTAAAAAATATCCTTCTCATTTTTTTATTTATTCTCTTTTTTTAATATGTATGAAATGATGAACTGAGTCACTCATTGTAGAATGGAGGGAGTACCATTTTAAATGAGTTTGAATTTTATACATTAAAATAGTATGAAAATATTAGTATTGTGAAACTCCAGTACAATGTTAATTAGGGATGTCAAAACGGGTCCAACACGTCATGCAATGTCTGTTTTGCTCGCACTTTTTCGTGGAGGCGAACAAGGTTTTAGGCCTGCACCCTTTAATCTGCCCGCCCCGTTCGCCTTATTTTTTCGCGGGCTTTTGCGGACACGAGCTTTTACATACAATTTTGTAATTTTGTAAAAAAATAGAAAAAAAATGTTTAACCCATTGTTGTCTAGGATTTTTAGAGATTTTTAGAGTTGTTGTGGTATTAGAGCAATCTCACGCAGGGATGATGAGAAACATTGTATGTGTTACTTGAGGGTTGGAGTATTTAGAGGAATCTCTTGGGCGTAGATCTTAGACTCCAAGGAAGCAGTAACAACACTTTCTTCTTTTAGGAACGTGGAAAATGAGTAGTTATTCCCCTTATTATTCTAGAGAATATGGCTTCCCTCTTTTGATATTCCAATAAATATAAGACTCAGAAGCTGGCAGGAGCGAGATATTGCCTTGCATGTCCTTTATGCTGCCTCTTGTAGATCTTTTATGAATATATCATCAGTACACAGACCCTTAAGCAAAAGGGCTTAAAAAGGGCGAAGCGATTTAGCCTAATTGCTCCTCTCATTTGGAAGAGTCCCTCAAACATAATTGAGATGGGTCCTTAAGGTATACTTGGGACGAGTCCCTCAAACATACTTGGAGTGAGTCCCTTAGGAATACTTGGGGCAAGTTCCTCAAGCATACCTAGGCCGATTTCCCCAGGCATACCTAGGCCGATTTCCCTAAGCGTACCTGGAGCGAGTTCCCTAGATGTGGCCTGGGGTAGACCTCCAGGTTTCAATGAGGTGATTCCTCTAATGTTAGTTAAGGGAAATTCCCAAATGTTAGTTGAGGTGAAATACGCACACATTATTAAATGTGATAAATAATGATTTATTCTTGGGAAGCTAAATTGGACTTAATCTCTCACATGTGTCAGAAACATGAAGTATATTTTGTGACTGTTGGGGAACCTATGGAGGGAGCTTTGATCACCCATACAACTAGCTTTTAAATCCCTACAAAAGGGATTCAGCCCTAATCAGTTTTCTTTCTCGCATACTTTCGTCTTCAAAGTTCTTGTGAGTTCCCTTATAATTCTTGAAGAGCATACTTGCCAGTTAGTCTTCTTAAGTTCGAGTTCTCAACTCCCCATTCCCAAGTGCCAATATCTTACCATTTCTTCTTATTTTTCTGTTTGTGGATACAATTAGAGATTTAGACGAGATTGGTAACCTAGTAAAGCCTTCGACTCGCAATAAGCGTGTAATAATGTGGAATTATTATAATAGAAACGTCAAACATCTTGATAGAAAAATTTGTGGATCTATGTGCTTGCAGGTATGAAGCTGATAATCCTGCTAACAACCATCCTAGTGTTTTGACGATGACAATGTTAATGATTACTTAAGCAAGTGATAATACCTTTCAAACTCTTTGATGATGTTGATTGACTTGAAGATATCTCAATATGCATCAATTAGAAGATTCAAGGTTTCAGAAAAGTGCCTATATAAGTGATATATCTAGAAAAGGTGAAGGTGAGAAATAAACACAAGAAAGGGGGGATTGAATTGGGTTTAAGCCTAAATAAAATTTTTTTCCTTTTCTTGTCTTCTTCTTCACTTGATGCTTTATGCGCTTATATTAACTACATTACGGAAGCATAAATAATAAAGCATACTGAAAGTAAAGAACACATCATATATCCTGGTTCACTTGAGCAACTCCCAAGCTAATCCAGTCCACCCTTCCAAGGTGATTTCGCCTTAATCAATTAAGGACTTAATCCACTATAACCGAATTGATTATAGATGCACAAGCTAACTGCAAGTGACTAACAGTTTGACAATGAAACGTTCAGGGATCCCCAATGATATAACGTTCATTGACACCTTAATAGAATCCGATCACTAAAGATCTCCTATTAGGATTTCCACAAATGACTACTGTCACTTGTCATCTCAAGTATACTGATCTTCACTAGATCACTTGAGGAACCACTGATTCTAAAATAGAATTTTTGTATTGCCGGAGATTACAATGGTGCTTCCTAGCAAGCTAATAACTCCATGTTTAGCACATAGCAAGTAATGAGCAACATCTCCTTGCTTCCTAATACAAAAACTAATTCTAATAATAACTCTCTAAGAGATTATTAAAACATAGCTTCTATATTGCTTAAAAGCTTTTCTGTGAGTGAGCACTAAGGCTTCTTTTCATTTGAACTTTATCTTGTCTTCGTGGCAACAGTAGTACCAGCAGCGCAACAGCGCAAGCCATACGAGCAACAACTCCAGCAACAACAATGCCAAAAAGCCAACCTTTGAATAATCAAATGTTCTGCTTTTATAGTGCTTCCAAGAATGACGTTGTGAGGATAGAAAAGTCCTTTCTATTTCCAACGGTCATATTTTCAACGGATAGAATAAGCACATCTTGGATGACATCACTTTCTTGTCCTTTTCCATAAGCACATGATTTATCAAATATGAACAGAAGCAACTTATCTGATGTAACATGTCTTGCATCTGGATGAATCTTCTTCTGACGTAATCTTCCACTTCAGAATCCAGTCTTCAGCATTCTAAGAACTAAGTTTCCTCTAAAACAATCTTGAGAATCTTCATGACTAATTCTTCAGAAACCATGTCTTCAGAAACTTCAGAGCCTTGACCCTAAGAACACTTCTTCAGAGTCTTGACCTTCAGAAAACTTCTTCAGAGTGTTGACCTTCAGAACCTGTCTTTAGAGTCTTCAGAGTCTTGACTTTAGAACCCACCTTCAGAGTCTTCAGAGTCTTGACGCACTTGGTTTTCAGAGCCTTCAGCCTTCAGAACTTCAAGTCATCAGAGTCTTTAGAGTCTTCAGAGTCTTTACCTTCAGAACCTGTCTTCAGAGTCTTGACGCACTTGGTCTTCAGAGCCTTCAGCCTTCAGAACTTCAAGTCATCAGAGTCTTCAGCACGTTCTTTAGAGGACTTACTCTTCAGAGACGCTCGTTAGCTTCCAGATCAGATGCATAACTCAGAGCAGAATCCACTGATGCATTGCAACTGCAATATCCAGCATCCTTGATTCTTTACTGAACATGATCAGATGTAGAAACAAACTTGCTTCTTCACTGAGCTTCATTTTCTTTCAGATCAGATGCACTTCTTCAGAGCAGAATACACAGGAGCATTGCAACTGCAATATCCAGCATCCTTGATTCTTACTGAACGTGATCATATACATAAGCAAACTAGCTCCTCACATGCGTTTCATGACGTCACACTAAGTAACTCCATAAGTTACTA